CCTAAACTTAATCTGCACTATTGACATTCTAATCAATTGATACCAAATAAATATATTTTGGCTGATTTTGTTTTTCAATTTGTCAATTAACATGTGTATTTTTTTTCAATATAACATTTTATCAGCGTGTTTGGCACGTGCAAAATGTACTGCATGCGGCGCGTGTTTTCGCTGTAAAATTATATACAGGCCAAGTTCCTATGTGCTCAAGGTCAATCAATAGAATTTTTTCGAGTTTCCGTGTTACGTTGCACTGCATCATCCCATTCTGACTCAATCTGTATTTTTTCGTTGGTGCCAATCGTCTTCAATAGCCAACATACATTCGAATACTTTCTATATATTGAATTGCAATTGTATTATTACAAATAATAGTTTGCGTGCTTGAAAGTTTTATTTAAAAACAGGCACACCGATTAAAATACCTGATAACGAAATCAGTATTTTTATGTTCTATTTTAATGCTATTTCTTTTCGGTATATTCCGTTCAACTTGGGCATAAAATAAGTTTTATTAGAATAATACACTTAAGGGACCATTGTACGGAACAATCTATAGAATGCGTGCTTGTTCGTACGGAACCGTTTATCAGTTTTGCCGTTTTTGTTTTGCGCTTTTCCACATGCAAATATCTTCAGCGTCGAATGTGACACACGGACCAGTAGTGAATGCAGTGCGATTTATGCCATGTTAAGTGAACTCCTTATTCGAATAATTTCCTTTAGAGGAATCAACAATTAGCCTTTATTTCGTTGATAATTTTTTTTTTCTATTCAATTTGTTTCATTGTTTTGCCGGCAAAAATAAAACCAACAACAACAATAACTAATATGCAAATGATTACATGAATATTTTCGAATGTAAAATAATGTACACACATCAACGAATTTGATGACGCATTGAATTGGGCGCAATGTTTCCGTTTCACATATTCGATAACTGTATATGCTGACGACGACAACGACATCAGAGAAGTAAGGTGTTTCATTTATAACTCATTTTATTCGAAAAATAGCAAATATATCGGTTGGTCTTTTATCGGGGGACATTTACTTTGACTTATCCAAAATCAATTGAAGTCGATTCAATTTACTAATCGATGGTTAGTTAGCGAAGCGGCTTATTGCAAGAAATACATCGAACATGAAGTTAAAACCACAACAAAAACCGCTTTTGTTCTTTTTCTTTTGATTTTCTTTATTGCACAAACTTCATTGGATGTCATCATATTTTCTTCGATATCAAAACCAAGTTGAATCATCATCGTTATTTTGAATCTTTCAAATTGTCATTAATCATAGGCAACAATTTGGTGTCATTGTCGATGGCAAAAGTTTTGTTTTTCGCGTTTCTATTTTTTTTCTCACGAAAGTGAATAGTTCACTGTAACACTTATTCACTGGAACCATCAAACCAAATTACCTGTAATTCTAAAGATTGCAAAAAAAAAAAATGAAAAAGAAAATAAACAATCGTTGATGTCAAATATAAACACATTTTTATGGCTTTCAGGTGAAATATTTCTTCTTCTTTTTTTGCAAGCGCCCATAAAGCTTCCATATGATTGCATATACCTGCCAAGTTTTTTTTTATTCGATTCGTATTTTGTGCAATATATTTTCTTCTGCTTATTTCTTTTTTCTTTCGAAGGCGAATTCACATTGACGTCACAACGAAATTCGTTTCGTTCGTGATAGGTAATATGAAATGCACCATACAATTTTCTTGTTGTATTGATTGGGTGACGTTAACGAAAATTATTTTGTATTTATTTGCGCCTTTGGTAACTGCGGGTCTTTTTATGAATTGTTATAAACGTTATGTTTAATTCTCATTTCGAGTAGATATTTAAATAAATTTGTATGTTATCAGCTTTTGGCAGCATAATTTGAGGTGAGCACTTTCGCATTCACCGCATTTTTCCACTGAAATCGTGCCATTCTAATGCACCTTATCGATGTGACTGTCAATCTTTTTTTGTTTTTGTTATTGTTATTGTGCAATTCGATGGTGTTGAATTTCAAATAATTCTACACCTTGGACTAAAACGCAGAAAACATTATAGAATTTGGTGTTTTTTTTTCATATTCGAACAGTACATTTTTTTTTTAGTTTCATTTATTGTGTGTTACTTTCAAACAGAGGCATTACTAAGAAAAAAAATGTAGAGAGAAAAAAAAAACTTGCACACCTCTTTTGTGATAATACGAATATAATTGCATTTTTTTTTACTTCACTTCACCTTCGGCGATGATATTTCGAATTTTTGTTCAACATTTTTCGATTCAGTTGGGGATCGTTCCCGCTTTTGTTTTTCTGAATTTAATTTCAGCACGTTTATTTGTTTGATATACTGCTGGTATTTTGTGGTGTGTTTTTTTTCCTTCATATTTTCGTGTAAGCCGTTAATTTATTCAGTTGGCCGACAGGAGAGAAAAATCCATCTATATGGAATATGAGAACAAAATATTCATAAAATAATATTTCTAAATATCGTATTCGTTTAGCTTTTGCTTACTTATTTCGGTAGATTTTTTGTTGTCTTCTCTTTTCTTCGTCGCTTTGTTTTTCATCATCTTTCGGATGTTGTATGATAATCTCGATTCCAATACGAATATCAACTTTCTCAACCGTTCAAACAAGGAAAGCATGGAAAAAAAGAGTCCATTTGTGTGTTTGCGAATTACGAAGGTGAAGTGAGAGGTGATACAAACTGATTGCATTGCATATACAGTCAATTTAAGTGCTCTTGTTTGGTTTCACGAAACGTCAAAATGCGTTGGAAATCATTGCTCCCAACGCGATCTCATTCTTGTCAGTGGAAATATTTTGTGAAAGACCAGCCAATTCTCTTTCGCAATAAAATCATGCTTTTGCACAGATGCAGCAAAAATATTTTCGGTTTCTTGGGTTATCACAGATTTCTGTACACAGATTAAATGGACTTCAAAATGTTTACAATTCATTTCTTTTAAATCGTTTAGCTATAAATGAACCGATAAAAGCGTCTGTTGCGATCAAGCCGTCTTGCGATCATACAATTTTTTATTAAGCTATCCCCCCTTAAGGAAGCCTTCTATACCAAAGTACAAAGCTAATTTATCCCAAAAATCACTTTGACGTTTTAAGATCATGTTAATTAACGTGTTTGGCGTAAAAAAAAATGATTTTCATGGTTCTTTCAAATAAACAACGAAAGACATTCCATTTCAAATGTCGGAATCAACGACTAAAAAGACTTTCTTCGCTTAAATGTGAGATGGTAATCGGGCATTTTTTTTATGGCGAATCATATTGCTCCAACTTTGCCAATTTCATGTCCATTCTCTTTGCAACACCTTTACCAATGACGAGATATTTTGCATTCAAATATGAAAAAAGGTGAACGAAACTTGCAGAATACAGCAAAAAGTATCGAATATGAATCAATTCAGAAAAAAAATAATATAATTGAAAACAAATGGTTTTGTCAAATTATATTAATTTGAACGGGTGCGAATGTGACAGTGGACACATAACACCAATACATTCATCTGAATTGATCTGAATGCTGGTGAATATCTCATATTAATCACTGTTCCGCTTTAAGAAAAGACAAAACCGAAAGAGAAGAGAAAGACACTCACAAACACATACAGAGAGATACACATTCACATACTAACGGGTGACAAAAGTTTTGCAAATCATTCAAAAGTATACAATATCTTGATTGTTATGCAGCATTGACAGTGGAAACTTGCTAAAACAACATATAACCAGTTATAGTCCACGCACAGCAAGTGAATAAGCTAAAAGGAATTGCCACACCTTTTCGAATACGTTCACATTCACAAAGAGCTAAGAAAGTGTCAGAACACAAAGTGAAAAGAATCGATTCGATCATACTGTTTTCCTAATGCCATATACAAACTAAACCGAATCAAACCAAACGAAACCGAGCCGAGCTCGTCAATGATCTTGTTCGGGCCATTGCAACCATTCAAACTCAACAAGAAAACATCATCATCAGAGAATAAATAGCTGTTAAATCAACGTAATCAACAGACCGAATGGATTTATCGAAACCAACGAGATTGATTAAAATTGTATGAAGCAAGAAATCATTATAATTAATGATATATTCTGCATTTTTTTTGCATTTTGGCCTTTTTTTTACATAATGCACAAGAATTCACGCAAGAATAATTATCTATGCAATAGAAAAATCTTAAAAGTATTTTCCTATATCGATGCATGATATGATTCGCTTATGTTTTAATTAAAGTTTGCTCGACCATCGCTTTTTATGCGCGTTAAATTCGCGTGGTTGCTATCGAAGAATGTTGTTGGCCAGCCATCACGTGCTAAAAACACGATAAATCATTTTCGTATTTGATAAAAAAGAGAGAGGATTGTTATTATTATTTCCTAAAAGTCGGAAGAATTGATCGTTTTTCTCTTGAATGCATCAAGCTCTGTGTGTTTTGGATAATGGACAGCGGTTTCTGTAATATTTTACGCATAAATAGAAATGAACAACTGGAAGCGTATTAACTGTATTCGCTCTCCATTTTACTTTGAATTAAGCATTAAACAATTCTTGCAATATTGCACGCCAACAAATAATAAAACACTTCCTTTACCACGGTATGCAGAGCACACTTTGTTAAATCAATCTAAATGCCTCTCCATTCGTGTTTGTTGTCTGTCTCTCTCTTTTTTTTCTTTGCTGGAATCGATGACGAAAAAAGAACCAAGTAAATATAAAACACATGTTAAGGATAAAATAAAGATGATCATGGTGTTAACACAGATGCATGAGTTGCGTACAATTATTTATATTTTCAATTAATTGCCAATCGAAATGATTTAACATTTTGCAGCGACAGACAATTTGGCAATCAGACAATTTCACAATTATTTTAAATGATTTTTTTTTAATTTAAAATATGATTAACACATTTTTCTGATTCACTTCTTTACTCTTTCCCCCTCTTTCATTTTTTTTTTTCGTGGTTAGGCAATACAGGAGGCTTTGAATATCTCAACTGATGATGCGGAGATGGATTGGCCGATTTTTGATCGTGAATCAATCAAAACCAATCATGTCATTTATCAAGATAAACTAATATCTGATGCATTATTTGGTTGTCAACCAATTAAAACTGAGCATTCATACAGCCTCAATTCGGATGGCGATTCAATTCCAGATTCCCCGCGTAGTCTCCAGAATAAGATCGATGGTAAGTCCAAATTTTAATTTATGTTATGTTCCAAGAAAAATTCCCAAAAAATAAGCCATTGATCAATTAATTTTTTTTTTGTTACGATTAGAAATGGATGACGATTATGAAATTACAATAAATTCAAATATACTATCGACCAAAACGTCTGCAATAAAACACATAAACAACAACGACATCAATCTTGTCAATCACAATACGGTGAATTCAACTTTGAAAGGTATTAAGAACGCATTAATTTTGCCGTCGAGCAGCAATCAACAAGGCAACGATGCAAACTTCATCTTATCAACCAGCAGCAGTAACATGATTAATTTTAACACTGACACCAATAGCAGTGAAGAGCTTCAAGCACGATTGGCATTTACCTCACCAAAACTGATAAACAATCGCGGTGGAATTGGAAATGCGATCGCAATTGATTGTTTTGAAACTGATACAGTTGACGATTCAATGATTAAAGAGGAACCATTATCGCCCGATTCAAGTTGCCCACCCAGTCCAAATGCATCAACTTCTTCGAGCGCAAGCATTCTTGTCACACAATCAACACCACAAAATGTTGTGACATCACAATTTGGCACGATTAACGTAAATTTGGCCAATGTTGCAACATACACGAATGCCGATCTTGTATTCGAACATAATAAGGTTTGTTTGATTAAATATGCTATATGACCATTTATACTCAAATTATCTTTGTTCGCCGTTTTCAGAATGGTTCGTTGCAATTGTCGCCAGCCTCACACAGTCTATTGAAAAACCAGCAAATCATCTTAAATGGCACCCAACAACGGATTGTTGTACCAAAAATTAACATTCGAATGGATGGCCAACAAACACAAGGTAAAAAATAGCACAAAAACACGCCTTTGATTTTTTTTAATGAATTCTAATTTTTCAAATCTTCCATTTATTTCTTTATAGGATTTGGTTTGCCGCCAACACCGCCATCATCACTTTCGAGTGATGACTCGGAAGATAATCAAAGTGCTGAAATACACACAATACCTTCATCACCAGCCTCAAGTCTATCCTCATATTCTCCGAACAGTTCACAGGCACAAGCGTCGCAACAACAAACCGTTACATCGAAAAATATTAGTCAATCCGGTAACGGTGGATCACCAAACAGTTCACGTGCTTATAGCACATCTAGCTCACGTCAACCAATTCATACACCGCTAATCAGCAACCAACCGGTATATTATCGTTGCTTTGGTCAAATGCATTTATGGCATTATTCATTTGTGATTAATCGACATATTTATATTCTTCTTTTTTTTAACACACAGAAAGGGTCAACGGGCCAACTTGAATTAACCGAAGAAGAGAAGCGAACATTAATCGCCGAAGGTTATCCCATTCCGACCAGATTACCATTAACAAAATCTGAAGAGAAATCGCTCAAGAAAATCCGAAGGAAAATTAAAAATAAGGTTTTTATCATTTTAAACATTGTCGTCGGATCGAATACAAAATCCACGTAATTCTAATCATTATCCATTTCGTTATAGATTTCAGCACAGGAAAGCCGACGAAAGAAAAAAGAGTATATGGATAAATTGGAGCGTCAGGTGGAGCTTCTTGTTTCGGAAAAGGATAACTATTTGAAACGCATCGAAACGCTCGAAGAAACCAATTCAAATCTCATGAATCAATTGTCCAAATTGCAAGCGATGATCAATCGTCAAACATCAAATGCAAAACGAACATAAACCACCAATACCAATAAATCGACACAATAAAGATACATTGATTCAATATTCAGGTGAAAAGTCTCTAGCGACTTAATAATCACAGTGCTAGATAAAATTAATTAGAAAACTTAAGGTCATCCAATCGAAAATGCGCCGATTTGAATTAATTACAAACGAAAGACAGAAAGATAGAGAGAGAGAGAGAGAGAGAAAACACTTACTAAAAAGCGTCCATCATACAAAATATCGTTATTTAAATATAAGAAGCCTTTTTATTGCAATTTTGAGTCAATTTCGACCATCGAATATATACTATATTATATTGTTGATCATAAAATTTTTTTATTAGAAAAATCGAAAAAAAAAAGAAAACAAAATTTAACTACTTCTTTTTTTATAATAAAAAATAAACAGTTACCCATAATAATCAATGATTCAAATAAAATTTATCGAAAATCGTTTGAATGGAACATTATTTAAAATTGATCAATCTAACGAAAATAAGTATTTTGCATTTTCATAAAAATATATAAAGAAGCTATTACAAATAATTGTATTATTTAAATTAATTAAGACACATCTGCAATTGTTTCACAAGGATAATAAGTGGTTCCATTTATGCACATAACGACGAAGTTAAACTCGGGTGTTGTTAGATTTTTTTTTTTTGATAGAGATGCACTTTTGTCACATGCTCTTTTGATATCAAAACCATCTAAATTCGATCTATTTATATCATCAATTCGTTTTGATTGCTTTTTTCTCATTAACGTCATGTACGTTACGTCCACAATATTTATAAAATAACTCCCTATGGAGAGAGATAGATTATAAATTGATTACTAATTGAAGAAAGCACACATATAGAGCATATTTTTCTGTTGCAATGGTCAAATAGTGAAGATTGTTTTTTTTGTAAAGAATAATTCGTATTAATTTAATTCGATATTGTGTTGTTATCAATATCCAAATATATTTTCCGAGTATATGCCGGGTGGAAAACCTGTAAATTGCATTTTCTGTCGTGCAATACATTTTATTTAAATTATTTTACAATACCACCTGAAGGTATATGGATTGTATAAACATTGCAAATTAACCACCTTATGTAAGCATTTATTGGTTTTGTAATCAGATGAATGTGTAGAAATTGGTGCACAGTGTCCAAGTCGACATAAAGAACTTTTTTTTTGTTATTACATTTTGATAAGATATTAAGAAATTCAAATTTCCATAACATACAGATTTAAGGCATAAATAGTGTGAAATTGCAGCTGCAAAAAGTCCATTTTTAATTGATCTATATATTTTTGTAACTTTGGTCATTGTGTCGTTGTCATTTAACATAATCAATGTACCGAATGTAAATTCGATCAACGACGAGAGTTGAAAGTGGAGATATTGTCAGTTTTTTTTTGTAGAAAAACACTTGAGGCTTAAAGATAAATTTGCCAAATAGTTGTAAATGTATTGTTGCTTATTAAACATTGAAGAGTATACTATTTTATATATAAAATATACAGTAAACATCTTAAATTAAAAAAATGATGAATAGATAGTTTTATCATAAATTATACGATGTAAAAAATGATCGTCGCGCCAATTCATCTTTCTCATCTCCCTTGTATTTTGATGGCATACTGTGTCCATTCAATATGTTCAACAAATGTCAATGTAACCGAAATTCGATTGTTTGTGATTTTTAAATGAAGATTTTGTGAAACACAGCCACAACGACTCAGACTTGTAAGTTACATGAATTTTGTTTGGGTTGTTTTGAATTTTCATAAAAAAAAATCTTGTACACTTCTTTTCACGAATTTTTGTGCGATAGCCGCTGTTTTCAAATATCACAAACACACATAAAAATGTGTATGGACATTTTTCCAGCATTTGGTGCCATCATAGTTCGATCGAAATCGTTGAAATCTCTTAATATCAACATTCTCAACTGATGATCGATAGAATCCATAATTGAGTCGGAAATATGAATGAAATAGCATATTTTATAAAAAAAGGGACTAGTATTAAACGGTAGAAGAGGAATGAATTGAAAAAAAAATCACTTTGCTCTGCTATCACTTATCCACTCCGTCAAATGACAACAGACGTACCAACAAAATGTAGTGAATAAGACTGAGAGAGCGACGTAGTTTGGCAGTAGAGTAATGAATATAATGGACTTTGACTGTCTGACTTTTTTGTATGTCTGCAAAATAGTTAACACACAATAATAGAATATCTATTATTTTATTGCGTCTTAAGTGAAACAAAAAATTGAAAAGGTCAAAATTCAGTGCTGATATTGTTAAATAAAAAAATCTGATGAAAAAAGGTGCCTTTATTCACAAGGTTTATGATAAATAACTTAAAAGAAGAAAAAAAAAACGAAACAAGTGACTTCCAATGAAATGTTCAACCTCTTATTTTGTACCGCGTGTTATGCATGAATTATTCTTTTCATTACTTATAATTAGAATTAGAAAAACGAGAAAAGCAAACATCAAAGCCAAGAAAGAGTGTGGATACATCACATCATTTCAATCAAAATGGCTTCTTAGCTAAGCATTTACATTCAATACGTAAGATTAGGCTTTGATTTAAGACATTTATAATGAAAAAAAACGGGATTTAACTTAAGCGCAAATCTGAACTCTTAAGAAAAACGATGTCTCATTGATTTATATATTTATATTGTAGTGACTCCGAATTGGATTGAAACGTTCCAATATTGAATCTGGTCACAGAAATTAATTATAACGTGAAGTATATTGCATGAACATTTGCTCACTACTTACCACTGTATTTCGCTGAAATCGGCTTGAAAAGATAGAGAAAAAATCAAATTGTGAAAAATGCAAAAAAAAATTGTAATCAAATAAAAACAAACACAAAATAGAAAAATGAAAACAATCCGGGAATTTATAACAACTTGTAATAAAATGTATACATTCCAATCAATCGGAGTTTTATTATATTCTCGCTTTTTTTTGCTCATTCGGTCGTTATATTTACTTACGTAAGTATTCATGCACAAACATTTTGGGGGCGCGACTTAATTTGATCACGTCGCAATAAATGTTGAATTTTGATTTAGTTGGAAATTTCCATTGCTTTGCAAACAAACATTACCAATGTTATGCAAATTTTCTACAAACGAATCATGTCAAAAAATGTTTTTATAATTTTGAATGGTATATGAAAACATCTTCAAATGGTGTTTGGTTATTACTAATACATTTTATTTATCTTAATCTGAATCTTTTCATTTGAACACAATTTTTTTCCTATGGAGAGTGAATAAGGTATATATACAAAATATAAATTAAGTAGTAATTTACATCGCACATGCATTAATATTTGGTGAAAATGATGTTGCCGTTGTATTCAATTCTCGTTTTTCTCGTCTTTCGCGCGCTCTTCGATTTTGAAACCAAATTTTCACTCGCATACAAGTTAAATCTAGACGAATGGCCAATTTGTTTGCATCTTCCGAACTTAAATAATTGGCACGTTTATAAGCCGTTTCAAGTTCATTCAATTGATATGGTGTAAATGGAATGCGAGGCAGACGACCGGGAGTACGCTTGATTGGTCCATTTCGAAGTGGTCCTGTATATAGAGGCAATCACATTAGATTTTTGTACGCAATGGATTATTGTCCTGATAATGTTTCAATTATTGCTTTCAATTCAGTTATATGCACATCTTAATCGAAAATAAGTTTCTTTCATCTAGTTTTACAGATGCACAATACTTACGTGGCAAACGCGGTGGTTTATATCGGGTATATTGAAGCCAATTCAAAATTGGTGGATATTGATGAACTTGAGTTTCCATAAAATAATGTTCATTTTTATCCGTGTCACCACCTTTAGATCTATATTTATCTTTGGTACTTCCAGCACTATTTAGAATGTGATCGATCGAGAAATTACTTGGTTTTTGTATTAAATTTGGTCTATTCAACAATTGTTTATCGTCAGGTGGCGTCGGAACATTATCGGTATTCATCTTTTTTATTGAGTTTATTTCGAAGTTATTTTGATGAAGCATCTTATGAAAATTATATATGATCCGTATGACACTCAGTATATATTATTTTAGAAGCGGTTACTTTTATACAATTTAAATTATAACATTTAACAAATTACTTTGCCACTAACTGATTTGATATTTGCTGTCGTAAAAATATTTAGCAACTGAACTAATTGGTTCGTATGCTATTCCTATTTAATGTGTCCTGCAAACTTTTCCCATCCCCACTCAAAAATTGCAAACAATATAAAAAGGTAGATCAACCAGTGAACTCTTCAGGATCGAGAAAAGCATATTCTTTCATATTTGAAAATAGGCGGTCTTTCAATAACCAAAAAAAAAAAATCAACAATGGTGAACATACACGATAAATTTTGATCGCGATAAGCGTCTCTAGGACGAAACGAAAAATGCTATTTGTTATTTGCCTGCCTGCCTGTTTGTATGCCTATTGTAGCGAAACCTGATTTAGCATTGCTACTGGATTACAATAGCAGCACGATCCCTTCGACACAAGTAAATACATCAACACCAGTACTTGACGCTCTTATGTCGATTTGTTGTTGTTTATATTTTTGGACCACTCAAAACCAAGTCAAACAATGAACGAGAACAAAAGCTGTGGTAAAATAAGTACGGTAGTTTTTTTTTTCTTCTTCTCTACTGTCGGCACTGCTTCATCCATTAGTTTATGTTTCAATTTGTTTTTCACTTAATTCCGTTTTGCATAAAATAGGAAGAATAACAGTAGCTGTTTTTTTTTTGTTCAATTTTATATATGGTGAATAAATGGGAAAAATATTACTACCCTCCCAAAATGATGAAGATGATGCGCGGTGAGCAACAAAGAAAAGTATCAATTTCACTTTTAATTTGTTATTGATATCCCTAATTGAAGTCGAATTTCTATTAAATCGACTTGCATTTCTATGCCCGACCCCAGATTGTGTAAATTGCTTAAGTTCGGTTCAGCAAGAGATATAGTTTCGTATAATCAAAACAATTTTAATGCTAATCATTTCATGCAGATTCATTTGATTACCCAAAATATTGAGCACTTTGTTTAGTTGTTCAGAAATTAAAAAAAAAAGATGATGTACACAAACATTTCTGGAAAAGAAGAGTTCAATGCCAACTGGAGTATTTACATTTTGACAATCGTGGATAATCTCAATGTTTCCACAACAATTCGCATTGGCCTGAATGGATCATGCACGACAAATCATTTGCTAAATACACAAATGCCCTAAATTTACTTTAAGTAGAAGATAATTTGGTAATTTTCTATGTCTATTTATCCAACAAATGAGGTTTAAGCTTTTGCAGTGAGAATTCATCTGTTTACTCTGGCTCTGAGGCTCTTTCAAGTACATAATCATTTGTTTTACGAGCCGAATGTCATTTACAATGTGATCCGTAAATAAGGAGAATAACAAACGACAAAATTGAAAGAATAGAAAATACCGAAATATCTAAACTAATTTTCTCATGTTCTTTTTTTTTCAACAGAGAATTTCGAGTATGCCACATAGTTGGAATGCATATTACAACTACAATTCTATACATTCAATCATCAAATGCATTAGTCGGTCAACAACAATTGTATCAGTTTCGACTGAATTTTCTCTATGAGTTGATCATTTCAAATGTTTTTCCCTCGGCGTAATTTTTTTCTCGCTCTCTCGGTTCTCATTCATAAATTTAATGCATATTGAATTTCGAATAATAATTGTATCAACATTGTAACAAACTGAATAATAGCCATTTGTTTTGCAGTGAGATAAATTGAAACATCTTTTATGCGGTAGAATATTTTGAATTTAAAGATCAACATATATATTTAATTAAACGAAGCGATGAAAACACGGCCTACACAGCATGATATTTCCGGAAGCACAATTCATGCCTTTATTTCCTTGCTCATCAATAGTTGCTGCCTTTTTTTTCTATATATCTTCCACCTTTTTGCGGTATATTCGACATTTCATTTTGCCAAATGAACAAATTTCAATTATTGCCATAACTTCAAATAGGCCGAGATGAAAATTTGATACATAGATTTAAGCGTCGTGTGATGTCATTCATCTGACGCAGTAATATGTTTAAGAAGATTTTCAACAGGATTTCCAAAGTATCAAATGTGAAACATGCGCTTATGCCTCTTATTCCTTTTTGATTTTGCAAACCATTTGAATGGTTTTTCAATCGTCTGTACGGCATGGTGTTAACCAAAAAATCTATGCCCACTGTACTACAAAATCAAAACAACCATTCGATTTTACTGACTATCAGCTTAGTCTGTCTCATTGGATGGCCGCTTTTTTTTTGTTCTCACATCGGTTGTATTTGCTTAAAGCAAAATGAGCAAAAGAAAGATTAACAAAAAAAGACTACCGCTTTTCAAACCGTTTATAAGATTAAATGGATCAAGTATACAAACGAATCCAAATCGTCCAATGCAAAACATTTCGTAAACATGTATCCACTTATTCTTTGACCATGCTCGGATATTGTTTTGTCCTCTGGATGAACTATATCGGTAAAGTTCTAAAAAATCTTCTTTTATTGATCATCAAAAATTCAAATTTAACAATTGTTTTGGCAGAGAAAAAAATCTACATCAAACATGCAAATCATATGTAATAAACGTCATGCCTATCGCTATTTCACGAATTTCAACAAATTTTGTGACATTTACGAAATTTATGTCAAACATTGAAGCAAAAAGTGGTTTGGCACACCAATAAATATCAAATTTGGTCCTTTAACGATATCCCTACCATATGCATGTATTTTATTCAATTGCACACATATTTGCCCTCGTTTATCAGATTCAATTTGTTCGTTATTTCAAACTAACCGATTAACCAAAAGATTACAATCTAAAGTGTCGGATGTACCTCTCTGTCCCTTGTTTACCTTTAGAGATTGACCTGATTTGGATATGTTTCCCATTTTTCGTCTTTTGTACGAAAAAAAAAACAAATTCAAGTACCTTACAAGTAGCGTGATGACAATATTACAACACGATTGTTATGTACTTATTCAATCTTTTTTGATTTACAAATAAAACCAACATACCTATCCAGAATATATTGCAATCGAACAATAAATGTAATTAAATGTGTTTATCTAAATATGAGCGGATGCCCATAAAATGCGGTTTTCATACAAGATACCGCATGTGGTTTTAATTATCATTATAATTTGTCGCATTTTCATTGTCAAATTTGAATTCTTCCACCCAAAATGATGCTCTAGCCTAATTTATGTGGTAAATAAAGATATAATTTGAATATTTTGAGTTTTTGGAAATAAACTACAATTTTTTCACCCATTTCTCATACCAAATTCCAAACAACTTTCAATATTTGTGCACATTTTTTTTGCTATGTCACTACAATTTTATGATTATTTGTCAATTAGTAATTGACGCTTACATTATTTATGTTATTTCATAATATAAATAAATAAATAATGCAGTCCCATTTAAATTTGAGCGATAATTGAACAGTAATGTGCATTTTTCAAATTAAGTCAGTTTGAGTCCAATGATAATTAAGCATGTTCGAGGAATGAAGATCTAATCTAATTCAAAAAGTGAATTATTCTATGGATAAAATAAAATGTACTATTACAAATAGCAAATTTTCTAAATAAATGGATAAATAAAGGTAAATGAACATTATATTTGTCATATTTATTTGCTTAAAAGCCGGCATTCAAACGAACTACGAACACTTTATAATGGTGTTGTAAACAACCGTTGGTTTCTACAATTTGTAATATCAAAATATCATCGACGGCTTTTTAGTGAAAGCATACAATCTCGTTCTAAGTATAAAGATGTCGGGAGAGAATGAAAAAACAAAAAATATATATATTCACATTAACTCTGAAATGTGAGTGTATAGTAAACATCAAGAGTTGACCAACACATGCAAAGAAAAATACGAAAAACCCGAAACTGATTAAATTTGGAATTTACGCTACGTATCGTTTAACCACATACACAGATAGACGAATTCCGTGTCTGCGGTATTAAAGCATTGAAAGCAAGCAAATAAATATGTCCAACACACAACCGAATAAATTTAGTTGCGACCAGTCGCTTACTGCGTATATTTGCTGTTTTTTTTTCTTGTGTGAACAAACAACATTTAAATTTTTTAAATAAATCTTTTTTAGACGAAAATCGAAAATGGCTAATGTTGAACTTTTTACATTGAATAATGGCATTAAAATGCCTGCTATTGGCTATGGTACCTGGCGTGTAAGTTATTCTTAAAATGTCTGTTATTGAACTATAAATGGTTGTCATTGGTTTTTTTGTCAATCTTAGGCACCCGATGAAGAAATTGAACGAGCATTGAACTTGGCTCTAGAAGCTGGCTATCGGTATCTATAGCATTGACATGCATTTTTTTCCCATTATTGTTGTATGTTTATTGACTAAACAAATACATAACATTTTTAGCCACATCGACTGTGCCCCCGTTTATTTAAATGAGAAAGTGATTGGAAAGGTGCTGAAGGAATGGATCGATGCAGGAAAAGTTAAACGTGAAGATTTGTTCATAACAACCAAGTTGCCCCATCACGGTAATTCTTTTTTTTTTGACCGTATAAAATTGCAAACGAAAAAAAAATATATGATGAATTGTCAATACTGCAGGAAATAATGCGGAGAGTGTGGAAAAAAATTTGAAAAAATCATTATCCGATTTGAGTCTTACTTACATTGATTTGTATTTGATTCATGTTCCATTTGGTTTTTCTGAAACGGCCGATGGACCAATGCGTGAACCAAACGGTGATATTGTTCTCGATTTAAGCACCGATCATGTAGCAATCTGGAAGGTTTGTAAAACTTCAATTATTGTAGCATATCAATAATTTGGCGTCTAAAAATAAATTAATCAATTTACTTTCGATGAAAAAATGCGCAGAAATTTGAAGAGTTTGTTGGTGCCGGTCTTATCAAAAGTATTGGCGTTTCGAATTTTAATAAGCGTCAATTGCAACGTATTTTGGATAATGCAACGATTAAACCGGTGTCATTACAAATTGAATTGCATGTGTATTTTCAACAAAATGAATTGGTGGACTTTTGCAAGGCAAACAACATTGTCGTAACGGCATATTCACCGCTTGGTTCGAAAGGTATCGCCAATTTATATAAACAAAGTGGAAAAGAGTAAGTAAACAAAAACCGAATTCGCTGATTGAAGATTATTTACACATAAAATACGATAACATGATGATTAACACATGATTGTTTGGTTTTCTTTTCTTGACGATACGTGTATTACTTAGACTTGACATTCCCGATTTACTCGATATTCCCGAAGTGAAATCAATTGCAACAAGACTGGGCAAAACGCCGGCTCAAATTTTATTGAAGTGGATTGTTAAACGAGGCGTTGCAGCCATTCCAAAGAGCACAAACGCCAATCGTTTGCAACAGAATTTGTCAATTTTTGATTTTGACCTGACCGCTGGTGATATGGAAACAATGAAAGGACTCAACAGAGACATTCGCATTGTCACTTTTGATTTCTTCCAAGGGTATGTTGATTTTTGTTTACTTTAACGTCATATGACATTCAATGAAAATATGACATTTTTGTTATTCTATTTTTAGCATTCAAAAACATCCAGAATTCCCATTCAAATAAATGTAATCCGAAACCGGTTACACGATCTGGCGCAATTTGATTTAATACTTTGGAATTTTTTTGATTTCATATTATTCACTTTTGTTCCCTATTTTTGCAATTGAAATAATAAAAAAAAACGTACACAAAACAAAATAAATGTATTTCCTTCATGTCAGTAGAAAAACCCGACACATAAATTCTTAAAGTTGGAAATAAAATTGACACAAAAGATTGCGCCTTGAAAACGCCTAAATGTAGACCAACGACTAACGCTTATGAACAAATTTTTTTGATAGCAAATGCATGCATATGGTAACACAGTTAAAAAGCCCCTTAATTTATATCAAATCCAATAAGCAATGATGAATTTAATTCTTCTGTAAGGTATTTGTTGGTACTATTTTAGTTGCAAAGTAAGAGAATTGTAAAAAACAATAAAAATAGCAAACGTTTGAATTTTTTGGAATAAAAGTGGCCTCCTATACATATATCTGATATTTTTTCTTCACTCCACTTACGGTGATAAAATCATTTATTTTTTTGTTGAATTTATTTATACACTTATAATTGGAAAGTCTTCACCACTTAAATATCGTTATCGAATTCCAAAAATTGTTGTTGAGTTCATGATTGAATGATGTCATGACAAAATATCATAAAATGTTGAAATGATTTTGACTTGGGTTTTACCATAAGTAAAATGATGCTTGTATGATAATAATAATAACATGTGTGAATGAATGTGTTATCTGTTTATTCAAATACAAAACGTAATGAATTTCATCATAATTCGTAGTATTGATGAAAAATAACTTATCTTTTATTCAATTAGAATTCATTGTATGAGTTTGCCGGTTGCTGTTGAATCGCGGCAGATGATTACTCATAGTCACCAATTTTGTCAGAGTATGTATGTATTTGTATTTCTCCACCAAGCCTACACAACAACACAAAGTTTCTCTTACAAAATATTGTGAAATTTATCACGATGCATTGTATAAATACGGTGTGAGCTTGTTTTGGTTTGTTCAGTATCCGTACCGATTTGGTGAGGTGTACATTATTCAAATTCATAGTGTTTCGTTCGTTATTTTCTTAATAAATTTTTAAACAATGGCTCTTATTGGTGAAATTCCCAAATTCGACAGCCGTTCAGATGACTGGCTTGTTTTTACCGAACGTTTGGAACAATTCTTTGAAATCAACGACGTACCAGAAGAGAAGAAGAAGGCGATTCTTATAACCAGCGTTAGTGACGATGTATACAAAACATTACGCGATGTTTGCCATCCAGTGTTACCAAAGAACAAAACATTCGACGAACTTTGTGAATTACTCAATAAACAATTTGTGGTAAAAACATCAGTATATCGAGAACGTGTAACATTCTATAATGCAAAACAAATGAGAGACGAAAGCATTGCGAATTGGTTTGCTCGAATTAAGAAGCTTTCGGTTGATTGTAAATTGGGCGATCGATTTGATGATATTTTACTCGATCGTTTTATAAGCGGCTTGAGATCATCACCAATTTTGGATCGTCTGTGTGAAGAAGATGAGGACAAACTAACGCTAACGAATGCTGTTGAGATTGCTATTAACAAAGAGAGTGCCATTAAGGAAACATATGATACCACCGATTATGGAGATGATGATGGACAGAAACGAGGACGCGGCGGACGTAATCGACGTGGCAAAAACAAAGACTAGAAGAAGATTGGGTGAAGTGGTCCAAATTGTAAAAAATACAAAATTCATATAAAATAGTGAGAAATTCAAACGATATTTCCACTTCACCACAATCATCTTCACTTTACCGTAATAATTAATATTGATGTAATCAGGGGCATATATTATTACACCATATTGTGATATACGACACACACATCTGTGTGCATAGAAAATAAGCAAAAAATGAATAAAGAAAAAAAAATGATCGCAAAAAACAATTATGGTCTTTTTTTGTAAATTATTATTCAAATTAAAAAAAAAATCATGAGTAATGCGTTGTGATCGATGAAGACAAAAATATGTATGATTCAAATAAATGTTATCTACAGAGTCTTATTATGTTTTTATTTCTGACATTGTTTTCGTTTTGATTGCATTTTATTTTTTTTTGTAGAATAATGATTCAATTTCGAAATTAAATAAAAGATCAAGTAATGTTGTGGTTTTTTCCGTATTGTGCTCAATGTTTATTATGTTTCAAATTCTCTTCGCACTCATAAATCCATATATATAATAGTTTAGTGCAATTGTAAAATATTATATTTGAAAAAATTCTAACTGACATTCTCATTCGAGCAACATTTTAGTCCAATGAGCTGAATAAATTGAATACTAAAATAATGTACGTGACAATTAAACCTAACCTTTACTTGGATATTAGGTCTACCATACAAAATGTCAAATCAACTGAACGGAATATTTGTGAATCCCTTAAGTATTGTTTGTAAATAGATAGTTCAGTAATTACGGATAGATTTCTGTATAATCAAACTCTTAATGAATACATTTTGTTGTTTGTAGGTATTTGGAAAATGTAAAGTTCAAAGACAAAAATTGCTTTATATTGGATTAAAGCATAGCTTGTAATAATGGATGTTTATTATTTAGAAACGTCCGTCAAATCTCGATGACATGCCACTATATCGTTCTTGTGGTCTTGAATTTGTGATGAAAGAGCTTGGACGACTGCTGCCGCCATTGTTACCGGCAGGACCATCCATATACTTGGAACGTTCGCTGAACGTGCGATCATATCTATCTTGATTCTGGTGATCTATTGATCGGCTCCAATTGCCTGCATCGTGTGTTTGTGGCTTGTTAATTGCACCCTATCGAAAATGTGTATGCATTATTTTTCACTTGTTCAATTTGTGTGAAGTTCTTATAAATTGTCTTACTTACCCAAACGTCATTTGTAACTGATTGTAAACCACCAAAGGATTTAACCGATGATGGGGGGCCATTATTCGGATTGGCCCATGCCGATGAAGAGGAAGAAGACGGGCGATCTGAGTAGCGGTCATTTGAACCTCCATTGCTATGATTATCCATGTAACGTGACTTACTTGAAGATAGTGAGCCTCTGTAAAAGAAATACAATAAAAAATTAATTTAAAAAAAAAAACAATTTTCAACAAATTGTAAATGATATGTGTACCTCATGTGTCGATTATCAACCGAGTCGTTGAATCGATTATCTTTGGTGGATGATCCCAATGATGGAACGACACCACGTTGATCGTATCCACCACTTCCGCTTCGAGATGGCGGTTCAATGTCATTTGTCCGCTTGTATCCATCGTTTATGGGTCGTTTGAATGATGAGACATCCGAATTTCCCAATGAACCGGCACCACCACGCGTTGATGATTTATAATCGTCATTTCGTTTTGATGAGCTGGTTTGATAGTCATCGACACGTTTTTTCTCTGGTGGTCGATCGTAGTTTGCCGATCGAATAGCCGTATCGAAACGAGGCGGTGGTGGTGGTTCAAATCGACGATCATTTGAGCTTCGTTTGCGATCCAATTCATTATATCGATCATTATCGGTCGATGTTCGCTTTATAGCCCGTTTCGCCTCTTCAATCCTAAAATAAAATATGAATGTCAATTATTTTCCAATTTCGTGATATTATTTTAAATAGCTTTGCTGAAAAAAGAGCATAGCACAGGCCGTATGTTCAAAATGCACATTGGAAAAACAAAAATCCTTGCCATAATAAACGAACCGTAAATTTAAATGACAACATATATATATGAGCTGTTGTGTGTGTGTTTTTTTTTCTACAAACATACTTATCCGTTCATTAGCAAATAGACAAATAGCAGTTATCGGCATTGAAATTGATTGTGTGACGAAAAAATGCATAGTTTTTGTATCACAATTGAGTGATTTCTGAATATTAGAAAAAAATGTTAAAATTGTGTGCTTTGATATGTGCGTACTTTAACTGTTGTCGCTTCAATTCCAAGCGTTCCAATTCAATCTTTTCACGTTCCAATTTCTGACGTTCACGTTCAAGTCGCAAGAGATCGGCCTTTTCCCGTTCCAAACGTTGACGTTCTTTCTTCAAGCGTTCGCGTTCTCGCATCAATCGGTCCTCTTCATCTCGTTGACGGCGCCTTGCTTCAGCCCGATGACGCTCTTCTTCGCGCATTTTACGTTCACGTTCACGCACCCTCTCTCGTTCAAGCTCTTCTCTGATTTTACGATAAGATAAAGCTGCTTCGCGGTCTCGTTCACGTTTTCGATTTTCCCGACGCACATTGCGATCTATCTCAGCTGGTCGACGTGATTTCGACGATTGTCGACTACGTTTGCTACTCGCCCGTACTGGTGACTTTCTCTTGATTGTTTCCTTATCGGTTGCACTTGTCTCTGTTGTTTTTGTTGCATCTTTTTCTTCGGTTGCCGGCTTATCTTTGGTTGCCGTTTTCGAAGCGCTTGTTTTTGATTTTGAGTCTTCGGTATCGGTTTCCTTACGTTCAGTGGTTGTGGACGATTTTTTGTCATCGTCGACCTTTTTATTTTCGCTGGTGCTCGACGTACGTTTTTGCTTATTCCCGATATTACCAATGTCGGATTTAGCACGTTCAACCGAAATTATACGACCATGCAGCTCAGTGCGATGCAAATGTGAAATGCATTTGGTTGCATCGCTGGATGAATTCATTGTGACATAGCCAAAGCATCTTGTACCCGGTGTTCGTGTGTTTGTCACAACCTTAGCGCCGATTACTTTGCCATACTTCGAAAAGATGATCTTCAAATCGGTGGCTCGTGTCAACGATGAAAGACCAGAGACCCACAGATTACGGCTCGACGATGATGTTGACTTGCTTGCTGATGATGACGATGATGAATTGTTGGCAGTTTTGGATGAGTCTGCAATTGCACAGTCGCATTTCGATAACGGGAATTCAAAAATGATTTGCTTTTAGTTTTGATGTTTTTTTTTTTTGTTTATAAGTTATGAATGGATAATGATTTTTTTGGTTCTTTTTTTTTTTGCTTAAAGTTTGCTTTTTTTTATTTCAATAAATAACTAAAGAAAATTGTACTTGTGGCCAAGGAGGAAAGAAATTTAAGTCTATTTGAAAGCCAAATTGAAGGATTCTTAATTGCACGTTTTATTTCTATATATTTGACCATTTGTTTAGTAATGTATGTTTTTTTGTTGTGATTTGAGAATGGCTTAAATTACCTTTATCATCTTTGAATGATTTCGATGACGAAGTCTTCGATTCACTGTGAAAATAAAAGATATTCGATGAGTACAAACTTTTTCGCATTGGCAATCAGTTTGATTAGAGGAAATTGTGTATTGTTGGTCGCGCGCTCTTTATGCACTGCTTAATTGGGCTTCCTTAAAGTTGTGGCAAATAAATTGGTGCGATACACCTGGCACCTGTATTTGGCGCAGGTAAACGGTATTCATGAGCATGATTACATAATGTTATGATTTATGCACACGAATCCGTGGTCTGGCCGCAGACAATTTTGCATTTGCTATTTTGGTAAACTTGGAATTGTGTATTTCATATTGGAAATAATTGAAGGAATTATCAATCTGATGCCAAGCGCCATTGATGGCGAAACCAACCTCTCATCAGTTTTCTTGTTGCCGTTGCTTCCATTGTTCGTGTCACCTTTGTCTTCTTTTCTTGGTGCATCGTTTGAATTAGATGTTGAACCTTTGGCGCTACCATCTGCATCGTCATCGGTTTTATTGCTCACATTTTTGGAAGCCGCCGCTGCATTACTACCACCAGTTGATGCAATTGTACTGTCGTCACCATTTCCAACGCCATCACCATCGTTGTTTGCTGCTGAAGAAGCTGAAGAATCACTTCCATCTTTCTTATCTGTTCGCAAAAAATGTATCAATTTTGTTTTTTCTTGTTCGTCTAAATCACTGAGATTCGACAGTCAATGTTTTTGACTGATTGGATCGAGATATTTTTTTTATTATCATTATTTTTATTTTATTTTTAGTCTGATCAAATCTAGATCGAATATGGATTTTTGTTTCAGATAAATCATTTGATTCGAAAGAGAGAAGAAAAAACATCAATTTAAGGCCGTTTCTTATTACTGGTTCCATTTTATCTGACAATGTAATGATTAGTTTGAATTTTTTTTGGGCACAAAAAGAAAGTTGGCTTTTGAGGTTTTCGATATTTAAGTTGATTGTGTAGTAATATGAGATTGAAAAAAATATCTATACAAAATATTGCTTTTTACAAAAATTGTAATAAGTGCCATTCAGTTTTCTCGCTTTAATTTGGTTTTTTGCGTTTTCTGAAGTCATGAACATGTCGATATAATTGATAGTTGTTTCATTTAAATTCGTTGGTTTTTCGGACGGAGTTTTTCATTTGGATTGTATATCTTAAATACATGTTGGCCACGCATGTTACCTTCATGGAAACGTCTACAAATTACATGACAGCATCGAGTTTGAACAATCGTCTTTATTTTACAACGATATGTTTCTTCAATCTTTTTGAGTTTGGAGTATTTAGTTGTGATCTCGGGCTTTTGCTTCAAACTTTTGACTAACATTGCATTCGGTATATTGAAACCATCTTATCATGAAATGCAATGTCAAACAATTTTAAATGAAGCAACTGCATTAGCATTCATTTGAGAATTATCTGGATTAGAATAGTCAGGCATCGTTCCAGTCCGTAACACACACTCCAGCACTATCGTTGTCCCAATATGGTTTGATTGCAGTCACATCCATTTCGTCTTCGAAAATATATATCGACTCGTTGCATCGTGGCCAACAATAATTCAAAATATACAATCACAATAGTTCATCAGCGCTGAACGCAATACCAATTGAAACTTTGGGACTTTTTTTTATGTATATACGTTTTTCCCTGAATTCTAACAACCCTTTTTTTAAAATAAGCACCAATATTCAATAAGCTTTAACGTATTTTTCATATGGTTTTCAAGTTGAAAACTTGACACGGTTTATGATGATAAATTGAAATGGGGGAATATAAAACTTTTTTTTCTCACGTTTCATCAAATTCGTTGTATGCCTTAAATTAATTTAAAATTCCGTCAACATTTTAGTACTTACTGTTATTCTCTTTGACCTTATCCTCCGTTTCCTAAGGTGTAAAATAAAAGAGTCAACATTTAAATCTCTTGTTGAAAGCAACATGAATAAAATAATCGAAACGAATAATAAAAACGATTTTTTTCCCGAAAAATATCCCGATCGACTTTTTCTCGAAAATATTGACATTTTTCGTTTGTGGAATTAAATTTCGGAAAATTGTTCATTTGTAAAAATGGCTTTTGAAAATTTATCTCATTTTTACTTTCGTGACATCACTATAACAATAAAGTAATCGCATTTTAATACTGACCTCATCTTGGAAAATTTTTGCTTCATCTTCGCCAATGGTCAAGTTCAGTGAGTCTTCATTGTCCACATTGCTTGTATCAAGTTTGTCTGATTCAACGACTGTCAATTGCAAATGCTCTTGATCATTATCAGTGTCTTCGGATGTACTTTTCACGTCATTATTATCAGTTGTTGGTTGTTTGCTTTCCAACTCTTCTTCATTAGCCTCAGTTTCTTCATTTTCCTCGTCAACATTTTTTGAAGTTTCTTCATCTTCATCGCCGCCATTTGTCTTTCGATTAAATATATAATATTAATGAATTTAATGCAATATGGTATTGTTTGACTCATTTTTTTGCGCACGAAATGATATTTATTTATTAAAATGAATGACTAAAGTATGTTTACCTGGTTTTCATTTGTATTTGATGACTTTGATTCGTTACGAGCACGTTTCACGGGCGATTTACCCTTGTCATCGGCTTCAAAAGTATATTCATTCGGGTCTTCACCTGCATCAGTAAGTGCCTGTGGTATGAAATTTATTATTTTTTATGATTTTCCGTATCAACTATCAATTCGACATGAATTCATCTTGAAAATCACAACGCCTTGAACATATGTCAATCAGACGTAGAAAAAATATCATTATATGTATACTCTTATATGTTATACTATTTTTTTTTTCGCAATGCGGCATTTTGATTTCGTATACATTCAAGTATTGTAATCAAGTGCAAGTAATTGGATTCTTTCGAAACCACTGCAGTGATGTGATAATTGGTATTTAAGTTTTCTTACCTTTTGCAAACGATCGAATAGTGCAATTTTAATGCCTGTCGTTTCTAAGCCTCGTTTTTCTAACTCAGCCTTTAAATCGCAAACCCGTAGGTCTGTAATCTTTTTGCCCACACTATCTGACGACATATTTACTTTTGATCGGATTTATCCGCAATTAAAAACACTTGAAATGGAACAGTTAATATCCTTAGTGTATGGAAATGGTTTGATTTTAAACAAAACTTTGGTTGGAATTTGCAAATGCAAAACGTTCGATTTGTGTTGGATTTTCTGTGAATTTTTTTCCCGTCTAATTTATAGATTAGTTGCGTAGTTCATTCTCCATTTTACCATAAGTAACTAAGAGCAGTTGGCAACATTTTGTTTGACATTTTCAACATTTTAATGTTTTCTTTCCGACACATAAATTTGATGGACTATTTTTTTTTAATTCAAAATTTAGTCCATAGATGGCACGATAAAATAATAAATGACGATAATAAATAATCATAAATATAAATTCATCGTTCAGTACAAATGGTTATTTTTATTTATTAATTTATGATAATTTGATGACGGTGGATAAAAATCATCGATTTTTTTTTTTTTTGGAGAAAATAATAAATAAAATAATGTTTGAGGTATCTGTACAGATAGATGTCTTCATATGAATGGTGTTGACATTTGAAAATTGCTTAGTTATCCGATACGCACAAACGGCGCTGTCACTCAATACAACTTTTGATAGGTTCGTTCGTGGCCATCTTAGTTCTTTTCGCTGTAACCACGTTCTTTGAAAGAAGTACATTACAATCATGGCATTGCCAATTTCCAAAAAACGAAAGGTAATTTAACGAATTAATTGTAAATTAGTGAAAATTTATACGAATTGAATGCAAACAATGCCGGATTAGATAAATTATTGTGAAAAGTTTGTAAATTTTTAGTGAAAATTGTCTCGAAAGTCGGTGTGTGCATGTTGAACAAAATTCAAAGAGAGAGAGCACACGGTGTGGTTTGCACAAAGTGCATGTGTATATTTGGAAAACATAAGACTTTAGACCAAATCAAATCACCAAAATCACATCGAAGCGAATGTGATTTATCAATCATAATAACATCCATTCAATTCAATAAATTTGAATTAATCAATATAATATTAATTTATACATTCAATTCGGATATTTAAACGAAACCATAACCTAAAAAAAATGTTAACATCAAACTAAATGTATACGTTTTTGTTGTTGTTCTATTTTGCAGTTCGTCTTGAACGGTATCTTCAAAGCTGAACTCAACGAGTTCTTGACTCGTCAGTTGGCTGAAGATGGTTACTCAGGTGTAGAAATCCGTGTAACACCAACACGCACAGAAATTATTATCATGGCAACCAAAACATTGAATGTTTTGGGTGAAAAGGGACGCCGAATTCGTGAACTTACTGCTGTAGTTCAAAAGAGGTACATATTGAAAATTGAAAGCATCCATCAATCGCATCATCTTCAGTATTTCAATGGATTTAAATTAAATTTTATTTTGTGTTTTATTTTCATTTTTGCCTAAATTTAGATTCGGTTTTGCTCCAGGCACCGTTGAATTGTACGCCGAAAAGGTTGCTACACGTGGTTTGTGCGCTATCGCTCAAGCCGAATCATTGCGGTACAAATTAACCGGTGGATTGGCTGTACGTCGTGCATGTTATGGTGTTTTGCGTTTCATTATGGAATCAGGCGCCAAGGGATGTGAAGTCGTTGTTTCCGGAAAATTGCGTGGTCAACGTGCCAAATCAATGAAATTCACTGAAGGTTTGATGATCCACTCTGGTGATCCATGCAATGTTTACGTTGACACAGCCACACGTCACGTTTTACTTCGTCAAGGTGTGCTCGGTATCAAGGTTAAAATCATGTTGCCATACGATCCAAATGGCAAGAGCGGACCTAAAAAACCATTGCCAGACAATGTCACCGTCATCGAACCAAAAGATGAAGTTATCTATGAACAACCAGAAACTGAATACAAAATTCCAATCAGAGAGATCGGCGGCGTTGATGCTGGTGCACACGATCAAGTTGAATAAATGTTATGCTAACATCCTTCACGGCTTAGCATTTAATTCATTGTCTACATGTACTACATTCAATCTTCGTGTACAATTTTATATTATACAAATATAAAAACAAACAAATACCGTGAATGAAAATAAAACAAAAATCTTGAAAAAAAAAATAGTTACAACTTATGCATTTGTCTTGGATTTTTAAATGAATTGTTTAGATTAAATCAATGAAATTGATACTTCAGAAGTCAGTAGTGTAGTTGTACCAGTTTCATCCATACCGGTTTTTGCATGGTATCTATGAAACCTTGTCCCAAGTTTCGACTTTCACATGTGCGGACATTCGACTATACATCCCTCCTGTCATTGTGTCTCTGTTTCAATTGTAAAGATAAAACTTTATACTTTGTTTTGCTCCGATAACTAAGATGTTTTTGAAATCAAATACTTGAATGGTCTGTCTTCAAGATAAGTCTTTAATTATATTTTAATGGTATATTAAATTGGTCGCAGAATGGTGCATTGACCAGTGTACCTAATTTTTTGGAGCCATCAAACAAAATACTACTGAATGAGAAAGAAGTAAATTCATTTTTTTTTCTAACGCTTGAATGTTTTTATTTTGTGGATGTAATTTGTTCGCCTATTCAGATTTTATGACAAGATAGTTAGTTTAGATAGTTTTTAATTTACATTGCATTGATGATATTCGACGGTTTAATACGCAATTTTACATAATAAGCTTAGCCTTATTGATTGTAATAATTATTTAATTTAAATTGATTTTAATGAGACATTTCATTTGTTTCAATGTAGAACAATCTACTTGGCAGCCAAACAAAATGATTAAAGCCCAATTGTTTGAGCTAAATCTGCATAAATGTGTAATGCTAAAACCCCAATGCTGCACGTAGCGAGTGCTTTGAATGCCAACAATGACCATAAGCCGCTAATTAATGACTTTAAAACTGCATCGAGCCATAAAACTTTGAATGGTGTTGCAATCAAAAGAAGCGTTACGATTGGCTTGTACTTAATGTTGAGATCATGACGAGTGGATAGCCAAATTAGTGTTGAAGTCGTCAAGTGTTGAATCTGTAATCACAAATCATCATCAATCAATTGTCAATGCAATGAAACATAAATTTGAATAAAACAAAAAAGCAAAATCGAATGCAATACGTACGAGAGAGATATTTGATTCCAAACACTTTTGAATATAAAGCCAGCTGAATTCAGCACCACGAGCGCCAACCTACGGGGTGAATCAGAAAAGAAAAATGGAAATTAATCAACAAAATGGAAAAATAATTGACAAAAATCAATCAGTGGTAGATTTTTACTAACCCACAACATTAATCCACGTGAAAGAATCACTTCAGCCGTTGCCCAGCCCAAGCCGGCTGTAATGAGTTTGCTGTGACCTTTTCCTGGTATACGCGATAACACAAAGGCCAAACCCAATAAATCGGCCATATCAATGGTACATCTTAGAAATTCCTACAAATACAATAAAATATCAGTGATTCAAAATCGTAAGATGTCAAATGGTCGTGATGCCACTTACGCCGAACAAATTCAATTCGTCTGTGCTTGTTGTACTGGTGTCCGGAAAGAATGTTGCTAAAATCAACATTTTACATAGTTGTGTGAATGCATAAATACCGCTGGCCTGAACGCACTTCCAAAATGCTCCATATTCCGATCTGTTGAGTTAAATATAATAAAATTAGCTTTATAACACTATCGCAACTCAATCACCGGTCTTCATTGATAAATCAATGGTTGGTCATATGATTTGAATCGTTAATGAAACTTACAATCCTGAATATTTGTATGTTAAATAATACGGCACATAGACGAGAGCCACGCAGTTACCAAAATGATACAGAGTCATCTTAAATTTTCCGATCAAATATTAATGTTTCAAATTCCAAATCAAATGTTAATTTTTATCTAAGCCTTAATGACACTTTAATATTGAGTTCAATTAAATGGTGCACACGAGCTTAAAGTGGTATTATTGACAGAAACCTGTCAAATCAATGAAATGGATCGTTTTAACAATTGACAAATTTTGTTTCAGCAACAAAAAAAAAAATGAAACAAACTCGTTACCATCGTCTAATGAGTAACATAATGAAACGAAAAAAAATCAATCAATATTCACTAATCTAATTACATGAATGTTTAATAATGAGAAAAACAATATTCAATATTATATTTCATTCATGTTAAATACGGTATTTTGTGTAAATGATTTTGTTTTGTCAAATTTTGATTGGCAGCGCCATCTGACATCGAACGAAAAATTGAATGACGTGTCAAAACTGTCATCACTTTCTATGATCAGTATACTGTGTGTTAATATCCATAGAAAAACATAATTCAAGACACAAAAAAGAGCAAAAAAAACAATTGACTTGGGTTTGCATTAAATTGAAGAAAACCAAATAGTTTGCCGGAGAGTTTTGTTGTTGATTATGAAATGCCAGCTAGACGTCGTTTTCTCGGATCTGAATCAGATGAAAATTTCAGTGTTTTAATTGATGGAGACAGTATATCTGTAGACAGTGAAAATCGTGACAAACTCATTGAAAGTCCATTTAGTGGCGACGAAAAGAAAAAATACGCAACATCAACGGCCAATAAATATCTCAGTGGTTATAGTGTCGCTGGATTTTCTGTACCAACTGGTTTGACCAAATTATCGTCGAGCATTGGAACATTTCTGCATCAGCAAGTGACTCAAGTGGCAAACGTCACCAACGCTGAGCAGTTATTTTTTGAAAACAATCAACCAATAAACCGTAGCAATCCATCCAATTTAGATAACAATAACGCCTTTCAAACATACGACGACGAATACGACGACGATTGTGATAAAAATAGTGCTAGTGAAATAGTAATAATGGCTTCACGCGATCGAACTGGTGAATTTTCCAATGCAATACGTTCGATGCAAGGGCGAAACATTCAGCGGGCCGTCAACATTCGGGATCCGCGTAAAGCCACACAATTACAAAGCTACTCGGAATTCATGATGATAGCCAAAACTATTGGCAAAAATATTGCAAGCACCTATTCCAAATTAGAAAAATTAACACTTTGTAAGTATATTCCGAACAATTATCAACCAAGGTCATTCAAACTAAAGAAAAAAAAAACAAAAACAAATGATCAATGCAATTTCGTTTAATTACAGTGGCAAAGCGAAAGTCATTATTTGATGACAGGCCAGGCGAAATTCAGGAACTGACCTATATGATTAAAAGCGACCTTAATTCATTAAATCAACAGATTGCACGTTTACAAGAAATGTCCAAATCTCAGAGAAAAATCACCAATGCCAAACATTTACTTTCACATTCATCGAATATGGTACTTGCACTCCAAGCAAAATTAGCCAACATGAGCACCGATTTCAAACAAGTACTCGAAGTTCGAACGGAAAATTTAAAACAACAAAAATCTCGACGTGATCAAGTGAGTGAAAACCAGTGACCGGTTCGCGCATATTTCTATGCTTGCCTAAATACGCTAGGTAGCATAGATATGCCAAGCATAGCCGCAAACGCAACCGACGCATCGCCGTTCACTCTATATGAACAATTCACATGTTCGTTTATGCAGACGACCGTGCGCATACAATATAGCTCGAATCGAATGGCGACGGGTGCGTTGTGGCTTGCGTCTCCGCTATGCTTAGCATAGCTATCAGGCATAGAAATATGCGCGAACCGGTCACTGGTGAAAACATCATCGGTTTACATGATACACAACATTTATACTCAAATTATTTTGTTTTTGTTTTTAATTTTTAGTTTAGCCAAGGCGGTATAGCAAGCAATCTTCCGCCACCGTCAATGCGAAAATCTGCCCAGAGTAGCCTATTGCTTGCGGAACAGGATCAAGTAAGCATTGACATGAATGCTGATTCAACACCACTTCTGGCCGGCGATCAACGGCAACAACAGCAACAACAAATGATGTTATATGATGAATCCGATAATTATGTACAGCAAAGAGCCGAAACAATGCAAAATATCGAGAGCACAATTGTTGAACTCGGTGGTATATTTCAACAGTTGGCCCATATGGTGAAAGAACAAGATGAAATGGTCGAACGTATTGATTCGAATGTAGAAAATGCATCGATGAATATCGAAGCGGCACACGGTGAAATTCTAAAATATTTTCAAACCGTTTCGAAAAATCGTTGGCTTATGATTAAAATATTTGGCGTTTTGATATTTTTCTTCATTTTCTTTATTATATTCATGGCTTAAGATAAGACAAATATTTGTTATTACAAAAAAAAATTGTTTGTTTCCGTTTCTTTTTTTTTCACAAGTTAAAATATGAGAATATTTTTTCATACTCCACGCGTATATATCCGTTTATGATGTTAAATCAGTTCTAATGAAGGGAGAATTCTCAGTGCGATTATATTGAAGTTACAACTGAATTATATACCTAAAATTATTATCATGAACAAAATGAACCAAATTTTTTTATGTAAATAAAAACCAATCAAACATTCAATGCAATGCGTCTTTCTTTGAAATTGCACATTTTATTATGAACGAATGCAAATTACGCAATTTATACATAACATGATGCCGTGAATTTGCATCATCCAAATAATGTTTTTTCGATTTCTATTGATTTTTTATTTTCGAAATATTAGCAAACATTTGCTAATAAACATTGAACACAACGGGGGTTTTACCTTTGGTTATTAATGATTATTCGAAATTTGCGTGCTTTACAAAACTACGATAAGACCTCTTCAGGTGAATCAATTATCACCGAAATTTGTATTCGATTCGGGCATCCATTTACTACATTTATTACGCTAAAAAGTAAAGATCATATCAATATTTATTTTTGGTTAGTAACAGACGTAGGATTCTGCTGGCTGAGAATAGTGGGCGAAGATAGCAGCTGGCCAGCTGGGCTTAGATGCTATTTTGGCTGGCTATTTTCAGCAGCTGCTAACTTAGTCAGCAGAATCCTACGTCTGATTTTTTAACTACATTTAGTCACTTGCTATAGAGTCCAAGTGTGCAGTTGCATAAACCCGTTGATCTTGAATACTAATGAAAAATTCCTTTTCAATGTAATTCTATTCAATATGCTTTTATTGAATATTTATTGTACAAATTATTTGAGAATATAAATATTTTCATCGTAACAAACGAATGTGTTTTTAGTTATGAGTTTTGATCACTTAGTTCCTCTCAATATGCGAACATATGAATTTTTAATTCCAAATTTATAGAAAGCCAAAAATGGAAACCAATAAATGATATATTGATTTAACCAAACTTGATTGTTGAAATACCATCGGAATAAGAAAAAATTTGCAAGATATGTGTGTGATGTAATTTGAATGAAAATTATCCATCGTGTGTACCAGTTAAATGATTGAATTATCTTTCGACTTTCATCCAAATCAACATCGGCTGCCCGTGTATCGCTCTCATAATACAAATAGTTTTTGCAATCTGACATCCATTTTGTGAAGTAAACAATAGCATCACAATCGAGCATCGGATTGAGACACCAAAGACCTTCAATTAATGCTTTGGCCATTATCATGAAATCGTTTGATGTTTCCTCCAAGAGCGGCCGATAGACCTTATCCAGTACTAATTCTAAGCGTAGTTTTGTCGTACGATAAGAATCTGTACATAAATTATATTTCTCTTGGATGCCGATCAAATGCCCAATGACACGCCAAAAATGAACAAAAGCCTCAAAATCCTTGTTAGATACTTGAATACCGAGCTTGTCCGGCTTTAGAATAATGTATCCCATAAAACCAAATTGCGTTAATGCCATATCACGTTGTGATATGAATCCGGACTTCTTTTTCTCAGTGTACTTGCTTGCCATTATATGTCCCTTTCGCACCGCTTCCAATGATTTCCACGACCTACAAATATTTTTATTGAAAAACTATTATTTATATGCGTTTAATATTTTATTCAGGTGTAGGTATTTTAAAACAATTCTACAAAATGACAGAGATAATCAACATGTTTTATGACTTCTGATCGGTGCCGCAATTCCGAGGTAATTGTGTCGAACGAAACATTCGAAATGAGGAATAACCCATAACATACAACCGCGCTTAAAAACAAGCGCTTGCTCTTATTTCTGCGCTTATCCATATACTCTATGTTGAAAAAAAGTAAGAGCATTATACACAGTACTACAAAAACATAGCATGCGATGCATTTTTTAAACATAGAGATGGATAAGCGCAGAAATAAGAGCAAGCGCTTGTTTTTGAGCGCGGTTGAATGTTACGGGAATATTTCAAAAGTTCACAAATTGTCAACTTCAGAAGCTGTTATTCAGTTCTTCCGTATTGAAATTTGAAGATGTTAAAGATGATGAATTTCGAAATATGGAAATACATACGATGGGCTATAGCCTATCAAATGACTGCTTTCATACAAAATAGCCAGTCATCATTAGAATCTAATATAATAAGATGAAAGTCTATACTTCGTGATTTTAAGTATTCAGATAGAATGTTGATGTTTTCATTTGTTTTTGATTGACAAGCTTGTTTATACAAAAGTTATTCACTGTCACATAAAGAAATTTACATACGTGGAAAACATTAAATGAAAAAAAAGAGATTTGGACTAATGAATTCTATTTCACAATTTAAGAAAAACTTGCTTACTCACCGTGAACCTGGTTTTAGGTCGTTCTCATACCATGAATTTGTATGGAATATTGTTTCGATGTAACGTTTATAAGCGGTGCATGAATTGGATGATGCCTTGGTACAAATCAAAATCTTCAAAATGCTTGGCACAGCCAAAACTGCTAGTAATCCACATAATTTGCCAGCCATCATTGCAAACATATTTTTGAAGTAGAAATCTTGAGCTCTAAAATTAACAAAATAACAATAACAATAACCATTAATTTTCTCATACATATAATATTTTTCAAGCATTTTGCGTCAATGCTGTCGCGCAGATGCATTGATTTGCAAATATTTAAATTGCGGTAGTTAAATACGTGTTGATCAAACAAACATACCTTTTGAATAGAATCTCGTCATACCATTCCGGTAACTGCATCGTGTAACTGTCTACATCTATATCCACTGGATTGTTGACACCATCTGTTTGTATGAGGCTAACATAAGCCTCTGCTTCTGTAAAAAGGTAGTTGTTGATTTAATTGCAAATCTTGAAGATTGTAAAAATTATTATTTTAAAAAGCAGAAACGATAAAACGAAATTCACTGAAATCTATCCAAAAAAGAGTTCATTAGCTTCAGTTTTGTGAGAGATTATAATTTACTACTGACATTTACTACTACTTTAATGTCACAACCAATGAGTATTGGCAAATGACCAAAACATTTTCCAGCTTAGCTGGCTTATAAAATGCATCACAATTATTATCGCAAATCATAGACACATTACAGAGTCTAGAATTTATGTCTTCAGACATGCCGCACTTAAAATTTCACTTAGTTTACAACACCATTCAACCATGGATCGTAGGTAACGAGTTTTTATTTTTTGCATTTCTTCTTATGACAGACTTATGCTTGTCTAAGAACTGACTTTTTATGACTGGGAAAATACCTAATGGTAATAATAATTTAGAGTGAATTCACATCTTAAGTCTGACTGATTAGTTATTAACTTGTAATTGAGAAAATCTATACGTATGAGTTAAATCTCAGTCAATATTATATTTTAAAATCGACCAATATCGGCGATTTTTCAAACCCACTTTCAAAAAAAAAAAAAATTCGAAATACTTTTGCAAATTTGATTAACATCCATTGTTCATAATAGTTGGCCATTTTTTCGTTTTGAATGTTTTATGGTGAAAGGTGCACCAAAGAAATCGTTACCAAACACATTTTACTTATCAAAATGTAATAAAAAGAAAATTTTGATTTCCGCATATAAAAAAAACACAAACAAACTGTTAAATGATTTCTACCTTGCAATACACTCCGTTTTTCTTCTGTTTCTTTCATTGTTGTGTTTGTGTGATGATGGATCTATTAAAACTGAAACTCAAAACCCAATAGTTTACATCATCATCGCAAAAATTCGATACGCACTACTAGTCACGGAACCACATAGATTGCTTGAAAATTGTTCAGGTAGAGAAGACAACAACAACAGCAAATGTGAGCGAAGAAGCTACTCACAATTTGATGTTTGCAAATCGATTTAACATTGCTTGAATCCAACGAAGACTATTTGTATTACTGTTTGAATTCGATTGTATTTGTTCCGAACCGAACATGCTTGGGTGGGAGTTTGTAACGTGAGCTGTACGTTGATCATTACGTGCCCGAATACTATGAGCGTGTACACGAACAAGATCAGAAGCTGACAATGAAAATGTACAATGTAGGCTTAAAACAGCAAAAGAAAAATGCCACAAAGAGAAATTCACTGTGAACGAGTTCAGCACGTGTCGTCTTTCATGCATATATCTAGATGTGATATGATCTCTCAGTTTTTGAAAATCCATTCACCGCACACCATTTCGGTGTATTCGTAAGATGTGGAATGAGCTTTAAAAAACCATTCTCTTTACATCAATGCGAATAAACATAAAAGATGTAAACGACAACAACAACAACAACAACACACTGCGAAGAGAACCAACGAGAAAAATATATGGAGAAAGTATAATAAATTATGGGTCAAAAAATATTGGTACCATACATGTATGAGTGTTAAATAACCACTACTCACCAAAACTATTTTATATATCGAAATCGATTTTAATACATTTTCAATGTTTAAAATCACACAGACACACAGAGAGAAATAGTTTTGACATATTTTTCTCTCTCACCAAGTATATATTAGATACACTTAACAAGCAACTCGTCTTACTAGTAGTCTTTTGTTTTGTATGTGTAGTGTCGCTTGATTTTTCATGGTCGGATCCCATACACTTATTCAAATATGTTATTTGCGCTATAAAATTTTTTTATTTTTATTCGTAAGAAGAATTTTGTTTAGATCAAATGCTCAAAGGTTCACATTCCAGAAATCGAATATTTTAATTTATTACTTCAATTTGACACAAAATCAATATAACGACTAGTTTTGCATTAATAACTACAAATAAAATGAGTCCTTTAATAAATCTCATCACGCATAATTATTAGAAAATTATTGCTTGAATTAAAGGTGTTATTTCAAATGCGCATCACTGTAATCGCATCCAATAGTGAATCTCTGGACGATTTTTCTAATTGTATTCGATTTTTTATGTGTATTTTTTTTTCACCATGAATCATAGAAACAGTAGAAATTCAAGGTTAAATCAACTTACTAGACAAACGTATAATTTTGGTCCATGGTGGAAAATTTTAAGTTTCCAAAGGAACAATATGTCTACGATCACAATTCTACGCAAGGAAAATAATGCCTTTAAAGTTCCGTTAACCCAAGCAACCAATTATGTACGATCTTTTCAAAATCGTCCATAGATCAATGTCCAAGCAAATAGAAGTACGAGATCGTGGACATCGTCTGCCGTACAAAAATAAATCGTGCATGATCGGGCTACGTAGGGATTAGAAACCATAGATGCATTAAGCTTTTATTTTCAACTAGAAATTAGCTTAATTTAAAATCGATAATTTAAATTTAAAATGCATTGGAAATACTATGAATAAATGCAATTAGCAATCACTATAGGTACTATACAAACTACAGCTATATAATATCATGATATGATATACTGCAGCAATTCTAATTTGTTATTCAATGACTAAATACATTACATAGCAAAAGCCACAATTATTATTTTTCAATTCGCATTATAACTATGGTTGCTGTCGCCGAGTGTTTGTTCTCTGTGAAAGATCCGAATTTATATTGCTTAATTCCATTGCCAGTTTGTAACCAAGCTCTGGACGCCGATCTCTACCTTCGACCATTGCCTTGACCTATTTTATAAGAACGATAGGATTTTAAATGGTTTTTTTTTTAGCGGATGGCAGAAAAACGGTAAAGATTTATTTAAATTTGTTAGAAAAAAAAGTACGTACATCTTTGGAAGTCACAATGACTCCGTTCGTTGAAACCACCTTCTCTTTAACGCATTCAATGTCTTTCAAATCAACGCCACGGCAACAATCGTCCAATAAAATCGTTCGATAACCACTGGAAATGGCATCAACTGCTGTTGCACCAACGCACACATCGTACGCCAATCCGCAGACATATATATCCGTGATTCCTTTCATTTTTAATTGGGCATTGAGTGTTGTTTCCGACATTTTTGCATTATCCCAGAATACCGAATACGAATCAATCTCCGGATTTGTGCCTTTATATACTTTAACGGAATTTTCAACAATTTTAAGATCCTTGTGCAATTCGCTTCCCCATGAATCTTGTACACAATGACGTGGCCAGAGTCGTTGTTTTATTGTTGGTGGACCTTCGAAGACGACGGTATCAAATACTTGCGCTGAATCAGCATCGAGTGGACTGCTCTCATGCAATGGACGAGTTTTTATATTATCAACAAAAGAGATATGATCACTCGGATGCCAATCCAATGAATAAAACACTGCGTCAAAATCAATGGTGTTCAGCAAATTATTTATGGGATCAATAATCTAAGGTGGACGGAAAAATATTATTGGTTTTTTTTTTCAAACAAATTTAAAAATATAGAGTACAAAATTACTTACTTCATGACCGTTGTGTTGAGCGCTGCAATTGCTTATATTCAAAGATCCGCTAATGAAATCATTTTGCACATCGATTACAAGAAATGCATTCACAGGTCGCACAATCTATGCGAATGAATAAAAATAATAAATGTGAACGGTGAATTTTTGTAGCCAGACTCTACTTCATTCATCTACTCACCGTTTTAATCCAATGGTTCCAGCAAAATTGAAATTCATTACGATCAATGAATCCATCGGCGTTTTTATCAAAAACCGAAAATATTTGTTTTAGTTGATCATCCGGAACTACGTAAATATGACCTTTGTCATTTCGAAATAATGCTCGGCATATCAGAGTGAATTCCGTTAAAGACAGTAAATCATCGCTAAATAGCAAACAAACAAAAAAAAACCAACACTAACAAATACATTTAAAACTTTTGAAATACCATAGAATTTGAAAACTTTGAAAAGCTTTTAGGCCCTTGAAACTATTACAATTCGATCGAAATATGCATCTATTTTTGGATTATCACGTTAATTACAAAATTTCCAGTGTAATTACGATAGAATTGAATCTATAAAAGGTCAACACATATAATTACTAATGAGAACTCAATCATGAGTGAAAACAAATCTATGTTCCCTTGCCAACGCATTATTGACTTATTTTTTTATGACGTTAACTACAACCGTGTGTTTACAATGGCTTGAGTAAGCCGTTTCGACATTTGACATTTTGAATTTCAGCCTTTTTGTTAGTATCCTGAAAGTTTTTTTTTCGCTCACAAACTGGGCCAAAGGTAAACACAATCGACGAAATTAATGAATAAATTGAAATAGATGCTGTGACACAATGATTAATCATATCTATTCAAATACAACAATAAATTCGTTTTATTTGCCACAAATTAAACGAATCAATTTGGTTAATTCATTAATTAATTAATGCACGAAATAAACACGAGAAAAACCAAAATGTAAAAAAACCAAAAAATATAAAGAAAAAATGCAATTCACCTGTCCTTATCGAATGCGGTAAAGCACGCGTCCATGGCCAACAATATTTAATCGTCGACTAAAAATCCAAATAATTCATTCCTTGATAGATCCACGTTCACCTATTGCCTCCTGAGCATTCAACACATTATGTTGGTATGCATCGAACGTGTGATTATGTATATTCTACACGTACACAAATACAAACGAACAATCGAATATAGAAACGGTTCTTGTTTTATTTGTAGTTGATAATGCACCACCTGCAAAGCGGAAATCAATTTATGCGTTGTTTATTTTTGAAAAACTTCGACAAAATGCTCGGCAATAAAGAAAGTTTTCAATATAAAATGTTCTAATGGCGTTAAATGTGGCATCTGAAATTTTCTTTGATTTGATTTCAATTATCAATAATACTTGCAGCCCATGTGTTTTTGTTTTATTTAAAGAGAATAATACACCTTTTTGTTTCGTCCAATTAAAACAAACAAATAAACAAAAAAAAAATGAAGATATCGGCAAGTTATTAGAAGTTTCAAAAGTCATTCAAATGTTATTAATAGCAATTAACGCTACAAACACGCAATTCAACGGTAAACTATAAATTATTATATTTTTATAAAAAGTTTTTGTGAAACTGCCATAGAACTATTTCACATGCCACAGAATTATTTCTTGATTTTTTTCATTCAAATTCACTTTATTGTGTTGATCGACGATCAAAGTCAAAACTTTAGCTACTCATCATACTTACTTTTCGAGTCATAAGTGTTTGTTAAGACGTTTCACTTTCAACTTATCTCTTAATCATTTTTTCCGGCCTCTCTGGATTTAAATTAAGAATAAATACATATTTCACGCCAAATTTATGATAATTTATTAAAGAAAATTTGTACATTTTTTAGAGGATCATCGAGCAAGCTCTTAAAATTTTTCCTTTCCTCTTGCTTTCCTCAAATAATTACTAGTTTGCTGTTTTTATTTATTTGAAATTTCAAACCTGTTATTTGGAATGGTCGGTATAAAAATGCGGTGACATTTTTCGCACCAATATTTCGAAAGAAAAAATTACTCGATCAAATTTTTGCACCAAAATTGAATGAGGAAATATGGAAATGAATACGCTAACCAATATTGTAGATTGATAAAGTCACTATTCATTGTTTCGTTAATCTAAAGTGTAGAAAGTTTTCGCATCTACTTTTGACATACATCAGATAAAGTTTGTATTGTCAATCAATTTTGAAGTGAACAGGTCTCATGTGAAAATCATATTACCAAACTATGACTGTTACGGTGTTCCATAAAAAATAACAGGCCTTAACATATATTCATAATAAATGCGTCATTCTATAAATAGTTTCATATGGAAATAAAAAATGATATTTCACCCGACATATCATTTTTCATTCTTTCCGCAATAAAATTATATTGCTGTGTAAAAAATGAAAATTTCAGAAAAATTGCAATTGTTTTGAAAAACACTACTGTGACGGCGACAAAGAGTCCAATTCTTTAGCGCAACATTTATTTTAACTGCCGCTTCTTAAGAATTTTTATTTACTACAAATTTAGCTTGTTACATAAAAAAATCCATTTGCTTATTGTTTGCAAAATAATTTTGTTTTATTTTCATCATGGTGTTAAATTACCAAGTGGTGAATTATATCACGTTTGAGGTGCCATTTATTGAATATACAATATACATACTCATTTTTCAGAGTGTCATATTTACGTGCCGTGTTTTTTAAGTATAAAGCATGACGAATTTCTTCATTCAGAGTCCGTTTTTGTGGAATGCATTATCCACAATTTTGTATGAGGTTTTAGAGTTGTTTACAAGAAATATTTTAAAAATATTCAACAATTCACTGATCGCAGTGAAATTATAAATTGGTGATTTTGCTGTGGATTCTCTGCGATAGCTCAGAATTTTCATTTTTAAGTTCCATTGCAAGTTTCAATCCCAACTCAGGGCGGCGATCTCTGCCTTCAACCATTGCTTTTACCTGTAAAAATGGAAAAAATATTCGATTTTCATAAATTTTTTATCTTTACGTTCAAATATATTTAAAATATATATATATATATATGCTGTTACTTGTTTCGAGTTAATAATGACGCCATTAGTTGATATAATCGTCTTTTTGACAGATTCAATGTCTTTCAAATCGACGCCGCGAGAACAATCGTCCAATAAAATCGTTCGATATCCACTGGAAATGGCATCAATGGCTGTTGCACCAACGCAAACATCGTACGCAACTCCGCACACATATATATCAGTGATGCCTTTTTCTTTCAGTAGTAAATTTAATGATGTTTTTGATACAGTTTTATTATCACGAAAAACTGAATATTCTTCGACTTCGGGATTTGTTCCTTTGTACACCTTCACCGAATTCTCCAATACTTTGAGATCTTTGTGCAATTCGGCACCCCAGGAATCTTGTATACAATGGCGTGGCCAAAGACGTTGCTTGATTGGTGGTGTACCATCAAAAATGACAGTGTCGTAGACTTTAGCCGAATGCACGTCAATTGGACTGCTACTATGGAGTGGACGCATTTTCAAATTTTCAATGAATGAAATGTGATCAGTGGGATGCCAGTCCAATGAATAGAATACCATGTCAAAATCGATGCTGTCCAATAAACGGTTGATGGGTTCGATTATCTATTGTGATTTGTGATTTTTTTTTTATAGTAACATACATGTTTGCAACAAAATGAATAAAGAAAATTGGCTATTGACCTCATTTCCATTGTGTTGTGCGCTACAGTTGCTTATGTTTAGGGAACCGCTTATAAAATCATTCTGGATATCAACAAGCAAAAATGCACTTATTGGTCGAACAATCTGTAATATAAAAATTAAATCGTCCTTTTTTTAGTGTGCAAAAGAAAAGGTACTAAACTGTTTTGATCCAATGGTTCCAGCAAAATTGAAATTCATCGCGATCAATGAATCCATCTTCGTTTTTATCAAAAACTGAAAATATTTGTTCCAACTGTTCATCCGGAACGACATAGATGTGACCTTTGTCATTTCGGAATAGGGCACGGCATATCAGCATAAATTCAGGCAACGACAATAAGTCATCACTAAAAAACAGAGGAAATAAAATACAATGAATGAATTATAGTCGATTTCTAATAGTTCAATTCTAAATTTGCAACAAAAACAAAAACAGACAATACGACTTTAGGATGCGATTACCAAATGAATCGAAATTACCGATTGAATTGAAACCATTGTATTTTAAACACTTTCAGATTAAATTTAATTCAATCGATTGATTGGCCATACATTTATATCATACCGTTGCATTTAATCAAAATAGACGCATTTAGTAGTTTCCTTGTCAACGAACTATTGACTTAACAACTCGCGTTGATATCAAGATATGTATATATTTGGAAAACAAAACCAATTCTATGTGCGTATCGTATAAGGAAATATTCTTTTTTTTTTTTGATGCGATATTCAAACTCACCCGTCTTTATCAAATGCCGCGAAACACACGTCCATGTCCAACAGTGTTTCATGATCAACTAAATCGTTTTCATCTGTTTCAATAAATTTCGGTGCGTAAAACATTTTCATTTATAAAATGCGTGCGAATAAAACATTCATCAAAATATGTGTCGATTCACTTTTCTATTGAATACGTCTTTAATAACACCACATAAATGAAGAATAGCATAAAATCGGGTTTCAATGTCAAATGGAAGTAAAGAAACGATTATAATAAACAACGGCAAAACAAAACGAATGCTAACGAAAATAAGTACGAGACCAAAAATTTATAACTAAATCCATGCGACAACTCAAAACAAACATGTGCGTTGCGGTGAACTTCAACCAACTAACTGGTTGACAGCAATCATCTGGTATGAAACATTACAGCGTTTAGACATTGTATATATTGTAATATTGTTAGACAGAAAGAGACCGCAATATGTACCAAAAATCGATTTTGTGTTTGTATGTCAAACGGTTTACGATAGTTTAAATGTGCTATAAACAATTATGACGACCCGAAAAAGGAGAAATATTATTTGCTTTCAAAATGTATTGAGAGAACAATCTCATAATCGAACGGCTTTAATACACTTATTCACAGAAAGAAAGAAAAAAAAATGTGTTTCTATGTCGAAATATTCTTGGAAAACGTAATTAAACAGTGCATGCATGTGGTTGCACTTCAAAATAAATTATTTACTGTCGATTGAAGTAGAAATAAATATTGAATTTCGATAGGAACAGATAAATTAAAACGTCAAGTTCAGTGTATATCTCTGCAAATAATTGCGAGAAAATTAGAAACAATTCCAATAATTTTGAATCATTATGAATCACGGCATAACAGTTCGTGTGATACTTTACAGTGAAAGTGACTGTCGATTTTGGCATGAATGTCATCTGGAATAATTTATTAAGTTCGAGAATAAAATTACAAAGAGATTGAATATTTTCAAATGTTGTTACTTTTCCGCACACACCTAGTGTGTAAGGGGAAAGTATTGCAATGGGTCAAAATTTACGACACCTCAAAAACATGTTTTCTGGACGTTTCTGAGGTCAGAGAACCCGAATCAAGCCGTTTCGAGCATGGTTGTTATAGAAGCGACCCACGTTGTACATTGTACGTTGTTCGCCGTACGCAAAATTTGTTAACACGATAACTCTCTCCACAAAAAAGTTATTCAAAATCTGACTATACAGGATGATTGGGGGTCGCGAGGAATAGAAATCATTAGATTTTGAGCGACTTTGGTTGATGGAAAAAAATTTCATGCCTGGAGTGATAACTATGAGTCCAGTTTTCGTCCAAAAGTCATACTTAATGTAGACATAAACACTCAAAAATATGTATTGGGGGGTTTTTTGGCACGAGAAAACCGAGTCCGAGGTTAGTTTTGAGATACAATTTTTGACACAGTTTCCTTGAAAAAATCACAAAAAAATTGAATTTTTGTATGGGAGCCATGCCTGTATGCTACCTTAATGACGTGAAACTTTTCACAGACTATTTTTTACACAAAAAAAAAAACATTCTGAAAGTTTGAAGAGATTTTAATCGAAATTTTCAATTTTTGGCTAAAAAACGATATTTTGTATGAGAGATACCCTTAATTTTTATTGAATTTTCTCCAAACCCTCCGAATGTTATTTTATTGTGAAAAAAATAACCTGTGTAAAGTTTCACACCATTAAGGTGCATACGGACATGGCTCCCATACAAAAATCCAAATTTTTTGTGACTTTAGTTATTAAAAGTGTTTCAAAAATTATTTTTATGGCAAAATTGACGTCAGACATATTTTTTTATAGTGTTTTGTTAGAAAATAGAATACTTTCAAATGTCATACAAATGGGTTCATCATGAAAGTGTGAAAAATCTTTTCTCGAGTACTTCTGAAAAATCGAAAAATCGAACAAATATTATTTTAAACTTGCTTACTAAAATACTCAACTACCACCGTGCGGAAAAGTTCGTCTGACTCCCGTAAGACTCTTTATTTTTAGCTCAAAAAACTTGAATATTTTTGGATCAAATGTTTTAGCTTATTTAAAAGTAACATTGATACTTGATGTTTTGGTACAATACAATCGATTTAAATCACAATGAATCATGTCTGCCCCGTCGGTGTATACCAAAACTGTGTAGTGTACCATCATTTATTTATTTAAATTCATCGGATGCCAAATGTAAACTCCAAGAATCAATTTCAAGCTAACCAAATTAACTACAGCCATGACTGACAAAGATAAACATAAATCAATATTGCCTTTGAATTCATTTTAAACATTTTCGGGAAATTCGTTATAATATCCAAACATTCTTAGATTACTCTTATCAAATGGTGAATCGAGATGTAATTTCGCTGAATACAATTTTCCAAGAACGTCAATTTCGTATGTGACCCCTTTCAAATAATCAGCATCGATTGCTTTTCTATCGGTGCGTCGAATGTACGCTTTGCCAATGGGTTTATTGATGTAATATCCGAACTCAGCTCTTCTCAAATGACCAGCCGCTTCTCGATTGCGATAAACTCCTTCCAGCCCCCACAATGGAATTTCCTCATCCAGTGTCAGGTACACTAAACGTTTATACACACCTTCTTGCTGTTGTCTTTCAACCACCCGCTTTCCTTTGTATTCACTGTCCGCTCTACAAACAGATTCTAAATTTGCTTCAATTGGAGTGTCATCAGATCGTAAATCATATTCCCATCGATGAGCACCTAATAGTAATGCTCATCATTATTGATACCTTTTTCACAATTCAATGCATAAAAAGCACGGAAACCAGCATCCATGATAAATCTGACGAGGCAAACTTCAATTTTGAGTCGATTTATATGGAAAATCAATCATTTTACAGATTTATGTTATCGAATCGAAACAGAGACGGGAAATTCATTCTGTAATTTTTGGAAAAATAAATGAAATAATTTAAATCGCATTATGATATTATTCATTGCAATAAACGTTAATACTTATCAAATGTCTCGATGGTAGTTATTCTTCATTTAATTTTTCTTTAATAAATTGAGAATTTCTTAATTTTGAATGACATGAGTGGCTAAGGTTTGTTAAATTTGTAACGTTTCTTTATTGATATTAAATAAATCCCCAAGTCATGTTTATTGTTTCAAATTATCCGCCAGGATATTGTACTAGATTATGACTTGGCACTGACATTTGACATTCCGAAATATATGTCATCAATAACAAAACAAATTAAATTCCTGAACATTGCGATGTTTGTGCAGTAAAATTTGGTAAGTATAATTGTACATTTTGTAATATTAAAAAATTACCTGAATTGTAAAAATAATGAAACGAAATTCAATTGCTTCAGGCAATCACAAAAAATGATTGAAGAAAGCACAACAAATGTTAACGATATGGATGGATCGACTTTTGATTCGGAAGCTTATGTAAACAAAATTCTGAAAGAGTACTCATTAAAAGATGTAATGAATGTTGAAACGGCCATTATCCGGGACACCCAATCACTTCATAGTGATATGCAAACATTAGTTTATGAGAATTACAATAAGGTATGTTTATTTCATTGCACATTTGGTTTTTCGTAAATTAATCATACGTATTTGGTGTTTGAATGTTTTAGTTCATCTCGGCGACGGATACTATGCGTAAAATGAAGACGGAATTTAAGCAGATGGAAACTGAAATGAATCTCTTAGTATCAAAAGTTAAGTCAATAACTGAATTCAGTGATCAGATATCATCAAAATTGCAAGATAGTCGCCAACAATTGAGTACACTATCCGATAAACAATTGCTGCTCCAAAAGTTGCAGTTTTTGTGGCTGTAAAAAGTCATTGCGAAGCGCTTGCTGTGCTCGAACAATACGGTTATCAGCCATCGTTGCAAAAGCAATTATTGAAACTGGTGACTTGCTCTTGCAACTGGGTGAGAAACCATCAGATCTATCACGTGAAATACTTCAGTTTGCCACCCAAAGACTTCCAGATCAAATTGTCATTCTGCAAGATCAAACCAATGGCAATATGATTGAATTTGTCGATTTGAGCATCAAAGGATTAATCAACGATTTAATTTTAATTGTAAGCTCATACACCGAAATGTTTCTAAGCTCACCGTCAAATGCAAATTACAGCATTCAATATGACGAACTGAATGCATATGTTACGAAAAATTTGGAGAAATTTTCGACAATGGTGCAAGCTCGTGTCGAAGTCGAGACCGGTCACGGTGATTATTGAGCGCACTCGATCGTTTGCATGAGAAATTACATGGAATGAAGCATTTGACATGTGACATGTGACATCGATATGTCCACAATGATTGTTGAAATAATTGTGAATGCGGCAAATCAATTGTGCAATTTTCATTTGAAGAAACTGAAAGAATCATTTTCGGATATCTTGAGTTCGATTCATTTAGAGAATTTAGTCATTGGATTTTTGAATCACATTGCTGCCACGATGATATCTTATGGTGATATTAGTTTGGCTTGTCCACCCAATTTGCTGTTGGTGTTTTCGAAAATGTGCCTAGAAATGGAGCAAATTGGTGTGAAAAGAATTATGATGCTTTTGGATGAAATGTACGGCATCGATCCAATTACAAACCCATCGTTGACCCATGAAAATGACATGTATCCAAATATGCGAAAATCGGCACAAACGCTACTTGATTCGTATGTGCGATTACAAGGATTGAATATTTCACAAATGCTCAGAAAGAGTGTCGAAAGTCGTGATTGGTTAAATTGTTTGAAGCCAAGATCAATTAGAGCAGTTATGAAGCGTGTCGTTGAGGAATTGTCACTAATTGATGCCGTTTTTTGCGATTTATACTAATTGGGAGCATAGACTGCGGCTAGCAGCGATTCAAGTCGTAAAATACATTTCAACATCTCCGCTTCAAAACAACATTGTTCGAATTGGTCAAATTGTACATCCGAACCGATGCTCATTACGAATATGCATCATCTTTTCTCCGATAAAATCAACATTTTCGGATCGGAACAATTTACGAAAATATCAATTTTGACGGGTATCATAAAATTGAGCTTAAAAACTCTTTTGGAATGCGTTCGTCTTCGAACATTTAGCAAATATGGATTGCAACAGATTCAAGTTGATGCACACTATTTGCAAATGAATCTGTGGCGATTTGTGGCCGACGAAAATATTATGCATTATTTGTTAGACGAAATATTGGGCTCGGACGTTCATCGATGCTTCTAACCAACTTTGATGGAGCCAACAGCTGTGGGATTAATTTGCGACCAAAATCACTAAATATACATATTATCATATACATTTAATTTTTTTGAAAAACACATTTTTTCTGATTATATAATAAATATGTTTATTTTCTATCAAGTGTAGTGTATTTGACATCAACTGCAATATTGCTCAACAGTCTCTTAAATTTGGCATTCCGTAAATAACATTAATTGGTTCAGAAACGATATATGCATGCATCATTGGAACTAATGGCAAATGAATGCCTAACGGTTTCATCAAAACTTTTCCCCTCACACCGGACGCATTCACAATGCATGTAGTTTTTATGTCACCATGTTCGGTTCGTAGGCCAATAACTTTATTCAAACTTTCCCTTTTTTCAGTCAATATTTCGGTGACTGGAGATTCTTCGATAACTTGTGCATTCGATGTTTGAATTGCAAGCTTTGTTAAGGCGTTGTATAGGCGTTTTTTCCGATGTAACTTTTGAACATTCAAGTAAAAGCGTTTTTACTCCACGCCTAATGATACAGTGAAACAGCCTTGACGACTTCGGAGCTCACGAAGCAAACAGTTTGTGTTCGTTGCTAATATACACATTTTGTTCAAACCAAAAGCTAAAGAAAGAGTGAAATATTGATTTGTTTAGTCAGCGATGGACAAACGGTGACGGTCGCATGTATATATTATTTTGTTTGCGTTCCATCAATGCGCTAATCGATTTAAATGTTAAATGCTACGCAGACGGTCGGTCACAAAAAAGTCGGTTCGCATCCCATATACATCATACCGTGGCATGCATAAGCTTAACAATGTGCATTGACAACACAAAATACACACACACACAATAAAAATAACAAGCGCGCAAATCAGCATCCCATATCGAAAGCAGTGTATGAAATTTTGGTTGTCGTTCGCGTTTGTTTACAATGCGTACGCATCTAACATGCGTGCGCGATATGTATTTCGAACGGTTGAAACTTGAGTTCAGTCAAGTACGAGAAACTCAACGAAACAGTTGTGTATTTTATCTGAATTATCTTAAATCCGCACCAAACATCACCAGCACAAACAATTTTGTAAGTGATTCTTTTCTGATCGGCACACGTACCAAAACGTCTTTCATTACGAAAAATAAATTGAGTGTGCGAATTAATTGCATGTGCATGGTTTTTGTGTGTCGGTCGCCTTATTAGATGGTACATTCTTATTGGTTCTAATTATAAATTTGTTCGATATGTTCGTATCGTGGATATATATTCGCAGTGTATGCGAAAAATATGAAAACAAAAAAAGTGTTTGTGTATAGTCGCGGGTTCAGTTCTTTTTTTCCTCTCTGTTCATTTGGTCCGGATTTGTCTAATTTTTTGCTTGTTTATAGTTTGCGCTGTTCTTCTCATCGTGAAAAATAAAATTGTGTATATTCGCATCACAGTGGTTGGGAGCAGTGTGCAGACACTAACAAAACACTCTCTTTAACTGAAAAGGTATATAAAGTTTATTTCTGTTTGAATTCTCTCAATTTCATTTTGGTTGTTTGC